TTTTTATTTTTTGCGATTGGGTCACAGCTTGGAGTCTTCTTTTTTGTCCATTGGATTCTCATGAGTATAAATGTGTTCATAGAGAAATAATGGTAGCTAAGAATAAATGTCTATTTAATTGATTTTTCAAGGCATTTAATGCAAAATGGCTATCAAAAATTCCGACAGAAGCCGAAATTAAAAGCATTACCGGAATCGTAACAATAACACATAAGCTCCCGGAGCTTTGCTTAAACGATCGAAATTTGACAAAATCAACTGATGTTTCCTACTTAAAACGCTCTTTGGATAAATTCTATGAACGTTATATTGAAAATTTACCAAAGGCCATTATTGAGCAACCAGATGATACCGAGCTTTGTGTGCCACTGTCTTTTTCTTATTTGCTTCTTGGATCAATCTTAAAAAATGAGATACATTACCGGCTTTATCACCACGATGGCAAATTTCTTACGATAGAGAATATTTTTTACGCTTTGACAATGGTTATTTATCCGCGCAGCTTGGCAGGCTTCAATCTCAATCCGAATGATGAAGAAAAGGATTACCAAAGGAAGGCAGCCTATTTTTATATTATAATGACCAAAGTCGAAATCTAAAAAATTAAACCGTGTACAGTTTCACTTTATCAAAGTTCTTTTTAACTTGTAGTGAATTAAATTTTATGAGTTAAAACGGAAATCGGCAGCCAAAGCTTTCAACCACACGAGTTAAAATTGCTCCTTAAACGATTGGAATTTCCAACTTATGTGAATAAAAGTGGATGGAATATAATCCAACATATAGCGAATCCTCCACAAGCCATGAATAATTTGAAATTTGAATATGAAGAAGGTATATATACCGATTTGAATCTTATATAGGAACTTTCAGTTTTGCTCCATGACAATTTTCAAGTCAAATGTCCATTAACTGTTACCTGCGCTTGTCTTTATGAGAAGGGACCTCCCGTCTTACATCAGATGGTAATCGATCGTGAAAATAGCAATGAATATATTCTTATGAACAATTTGATCAATGATCCTAATTCCATCGTGATAATTCCAAAAAACCGACCTTACTACACATTCGAGAGCGAAATTCGGGAACGTTTTAAAGAAAATAAAGATTACGTATATTTTGGACCAAACAATGCCTCGTGTTGCCTTGTCAACGAAAAAACAAATGAAGGACTTATGGAAAAGGGTGAATGGCATCTTCTTCAAAGAGCGTACTCAATAACAATTACTTCTGACCGTTGTACGTATTATCCTGAACTGAACGGATTCGCGCCTCCTAATTTCCAGAAGAATAATTAAAGAAAAAATCAGTTACGTTTATTTATTTTCCTCATTAAATTGATTTAATAAAAGTTTCTGCTTACGATTAATTTTTTCGGGCAATTTTATTCACCGGTCGCTTTTTCAAAAAATTTTTCGCTGAAGAGGGAAAAATCAGAACGCGACGAAAGGATATTCAAGGGCGTCATGGGCGTAGAATAATTTGCCAAGGAAGGTGTCGTTAGCTCGTCCCTAACCAGATTGTGGCCGCCAACCAAGCTGCAGCGCTTTCTGTTCCGAAAAGAGATTTTTCATTCTTTCATGTAAAAAAAGCTTTTGCGAGATTGCAAAATCCCAAAACTCAAGGAGAAAAGCTCCAGAATGGAAGTGTATTTCATGAATTTAGATTGTAAACACGATGCTTGCTGAATTCAGAATTCAAAAACAAGGCTCTAATAAAAGTGGCCCAGAACTTGAAAAATCGACTCGGGAATTTAAGGAAAACCTGAGTCAGGGCCCTGAGTTTTCAAAAAATATGCTGCCAAAAAAACGCTTTCTTTGAGATTAAATTGAGCTCAATTCAATTCGCTGGAAATCGAAAACAACAAAAAATATTCGAAAACGTGCGAAGCGAAAATAAGCGAGCAGCGATTAAATTGCAAAGCTGGGCTGCGTAACGTGGCTAAGCGCAGTTTGGAAATAAATCGGAGCCGAGCGCGATCAGAGGCGAACGGACGGCGGCTTATTCAGCCAAAGCAAAATATTCTATAACGAGTTTAAACTTGATAAAATTCGCCCTTTCAAGCAAAAACTCGAAAAAACGTTCACGTCCAAAATTTTTCTCCTTTTTTTTCTAAAAATTTAATAAAAACCCTTATTTAGGTCAAAATCCAGTGTCGGAAGAGATTTGAGTCGAGTGCGAGGCAAATATTCTAAATCCTAAAAAGCAGCAGTGGACTGGCACTTCCGGAACATGTCGGATTTGTCAGCTTTTCCGTCATCCTATAATAGCCGCCAATTTAGGCTCGTCACAGCGTTTATCTAACTTTTCAAAAGTTTCTTAGAGCGCCTTTCATTCGCCACGAAATTCTTCATTTGCCTCTAAAAATCAGGAGAAAGTGAAAGTTCTTTTTCATGAAAATCTTCAAAAAATATGTTAATCTTAAGGGTCTACCCTTCAAAACTCTGATTTCCGAAAAATACAAAAAAAATTCTACCAATAAAAAAATGAAAAATTTTTTAAATAAATTTTTTTAAAATTAAAATTATTTTAATTAATAAATTTATGAAGTATATAATTAATTATTTAATTGTTTTTTTAATTCATTTAAATCTTTTCCCTCCTCGAAAGTGGCTGGCAGTCAACCATAAATAATCTCAACCCTAACCGCAATTATTTCCGATATGATATCAGTGATATCTCTAACAGGCAAAATCGCTCCGAGTGAGTCTCGTAGAATTCCTATACACACCGTTGATTACGACAACGTGTCGTTTTATCGGGCAGGAGGTCCTCGGCGGAGGAGGTTTGGGCTCATTAACAGTCTAAGGGTAAAGTACTCTCCAGCAGCTTCACCGGTTATTCGACACCCGCTTTCGTCTCTTATCGCGTTTAATTTTAAATTACCGGGGAGACTGGGCGATCCACTATTTAAAAAGGACCCAAAAAAGATGAAAAATCTTTGAAGGGATTTTTTGTTTTGTGTCAAAAATACAAAGCTGCTTCTTTCTGAAATTATAAATTTAATCCGGAAATGTTTCCCGTCAAATTTTGGCTTATAAAGCGCTTCTGTTATTCTCGAATACCCGACAAGGAGGGCCCTCTAAAGCGATTTTATTCAGGTCGAAGAAGAAAAAGATGCATTTCGCGGAAGACTGCTAAAATGCGAAAATTGAGCAAAATCATTTTCGCGTGGATCACGTCAACTTGACCGCGGCTTTTCGTCTTAAACTCCGCCTAAGACCCAGCGTACGTGCTCTTCACTATCATCGTCATTTTTTGACAAGGGGGCTTGACAGTAAGTCTCAATTCGAGTTTCAGTTAAAAATTTTCAAGTTCAAAGAAACCATCAAAAATAAACCGCGAGTCCCTCTTTCCTCGCGTTTGCGAAGTTCTTAGACCGTATGTTTGATGCCGAACTTCCGAATGATTCTAGAGCCCTCTTAGGATCAAAATCAAAAATTTTGCTGATACGATTACGTTCATTTTAAAATGAGTTTGGTGACGCTCGCCCGGTCGGATTATCAGAAAAGCCAATTTTTCCGGACCGGCTCATTAGAAATCAATCCAATTGAATAAATTTAAGGAAGAAAAAGAGGAAAATTTTAAATGATTTTTAGGGGAGTCATCACGAATCGAAAATTTTTGCATGGAAAAAACCTCGAAAATTTTTGCGTGGGCGGCTTCTCGGCTCCTAATTGGCCGGTTTCTAGAATTCAGGCTTCTGATTGGTTGAAAATTTCCATTTAGTCTATTTTGAATCATGATTCATGAGCCACTCAAAACCTGCTCCTTATTCTTTCTTGAACCCTTTTCGACCCGGATTCTCCTTATTTTTCTCCACGAACGGTTTAACTCAATATTCCCATTCTGGTTTTAAAAAACGCTTCTCTCGCAAAACCAGAAAAGCGCAAAAAATGCTCGTTCCGGAAAACTCCTTCCGCAATCGAATCATATCAGCTGTGCCCGAGTTAAATTTTCAATTGCAACAAAATTGTGGCTTTTTTGTTTCCACAGTTTTTTGATAATTCGAAAGGAAAGAAAACAAGAGTGAACTCACGTTCTTATCGAAAAAAGGAAGAGAAACAAGATTGCTCTAATTTTTAACGCGAAAGTCAATTTTCGCGCGAAATATTGTTCTTTTCCCTTATCGCTTATTTTTTGAATTTGATAAGAGGTAAACACGTGTGCTCGACTTTTTCCCAAGTTTTGAGGGTTCATCTGATAATGGCTTCGTTCTTCAGTCGATTCCTCAGTCGTTCTTCTAAAGCGCAGAGGATGCCCAATTTTCGCGCGTCGAAGTTCTTTTGTTGAGAGTACGGAAGCAGCTGTCGCAAAAGTAAAATCCGGAGCAGCACTCTGGCACTTATCGCCTTATCCTCCGCACTCCGAAGAATAAAGCAGCAAGAAACTTTTCCTCGCCAAAACAAAACATCTTCCAAACCATCTTACTGAATAAGTTTTACCCTCAATCTGGGTTTTACATCTGCAAAAATTCTTGTTGAAATAGAACATTAATCTTGCTGAAGAGTTTTTCCTTTTCGTTATTACTAAAAAGGGGTCCCAGTTTTTCATTCTTTTAGCTACGTGGCTCAAGAATTAACAAGGGAATACCTGCACAGAGTCAGGGATGAACAAGGGCACCCTCAATTTAATTAAGAACTCGGGACGATTGAAAAACGAGAAATTTTATCTTCTTTTAATTTTTTGATTCAAAAAAGATTCTGATTTCGTCGGTGCTTGAAATTCTAAACGATTAATCATCGATTTAACGCATCGCTGGTGAATTTGAACTTCTCCCAACCCTCTTCTCTTGTTTCGCGAAAAAAGGGATCTCTATCGCGAAACCTCCGCGGGCCTGCTCGTGAGCGCCCTCGCGAAAAAAAAATCCCATCGCTCCTCGACTCGCTGTATTTTTCGTGTTGACCGTCGATTTATCGAAAGAGTTGTTTCTTTTTAGGGCCCATTGAAAGTTTCGCGAATAAGAGAATTTGAAGAAGAGAGAGGCAGAAAACAAAAAGATGAAACTTCTATCAATTCTCGCTGGATTCTCAGGAGCCTGTCAGAACACACCGACTAATAGCCCTTCAGATGCCAGCAGTTCTATTTTTGGTCAAATTGTGACGAGCACAACTGAGAATATCGCAAATGCTTTCAGAAGAGCACCAAATAAATTTGGAATGGGAGAAAGGGTAAGATTTTTCGCACATTTTTGACAAAAATCACAATTTTGAAGAGCGATTTTGGGAAGTATACAATTAGCCTGGGTCTCAGACCCAGGATTCATTTCAAAAGTGACGCCTGGGTATGAGACCCAGGATTCGTTTCAGAAGGGACGCCTGGGTCCAATACCCAGGATTCCTCTAGAAAAGTGACGCCTGGGTACAGAATCAAATGACAAGCACTTATTCAGACTTTTTGATTGATTCTTTGAAAATACATTCAAATCTGAGTGCCCTTTGCCACGGGGCTTCGCCCCTTAGGCCCTAAAATGCCGGGGTCTAGTCTATGGTTACTTAGGGTTACCTACGGTCATTTTTGCAGGTGCCCCCTAACACTAACCCTAATTCTAGTAAATACTAGACTCCCTTTGAATTTTTTTTTGGAGTAGGTACTCTTTTTCTTATTCTATTGCTCTTTTACTGATTTTGTACCCAGGCGTCACTTTTCTGGAGGAATCCTGGGTATAGGACCCAGGCGTCCCTTCTGAAACGAATCCTGGGTCTCATACCCAGGCGTCACTTTTGAAATGAATCCTGGGTCTGAGACCCAGGCTAATTGCATCCTTCCCGATTTTGAGGTCGACACTGGTTATGTCGCCGAATGTCGCTGAATGTCGCCGAATGTCGCCGAATGTCGCCGAATGTCGCCGAATGTCGCCGAATGTCGCCACCTTTTTCTAAAACCAGGATTTTTGAAGAGAAAACTTGTTTTTAACCAAGAAATTTCAAAACAAACCTGTTCTAGAATTGTTTTGGCATAATTACGAGACCAGGAAGCGCTCCGCGCGATTTGTGGTAGGAAACTCACTCGTCGGGCTGGACTCACTTCTATTGCCGCGCCTCCTACTATTTCCGCCTTTTTCGTTTCTAGAACAAGTTTGTTTTGAAAATTTAGGCCAAAAAAACAATTTTTCTTTCATAATCCCAATATTTTGAAAATAAGTGGCGACATTCGGCGACATTCGGCGACATTCGGCGACATTCAGCGACATTCGGCGACATTCGGCGACATTCGGCGACATTCGGCGACATTCGGCGACATAACCAGTGCGCCCCGATTTTGAGGGTAAAAGAGTCGAGACCTCCAAAAATGAAGCTTCAAAGTCGTTTTTGACCTGAAAAATCCATTTCCGGTGTAAAAGCTTTGGACTGGAATTAATTTCGTACTGTTTTCAGGAAGCACATCCGATGCAACGCGCAATTGGCGAAGAATTAATGGCGGATTTTACAAACGGCGTTTTGAAATGTCTCCGAGAAAAGAAGCGAACTCCTTTGAGAGCGAAACAGCAAGAAGACATGATGGCTTCAGAGTGGGCTGCTCAGTGGCAGAGTCACTGTGGAAGCGTCGTGGATCCCTTTTGCCCGGCAGAAATCGGCGAGTGCTGGGCAATGGCGGTTTTGCTTTGTAGAAGCGATTGCGATGCAAAATTCGAGCTCAGAGGTGAGAAATCAGCAGGAAGCAGCGAAAGTGGAGGCTCTTGAGATTGATGCAATCGGACTAATAGAAACTCACGAATGGATATTATTGTTATCGTTCTTTTAGAGAGCTTTTATTAAAAAAACCCTTTTTTTCTGGAGAAAAAATCTTTCTTTCGGAAGTTTTCTTATTTGAACTCGGTTGTTATTTTACTAGAACGAAAAAGAACACGATTACTTCAAAATTGTCACTTTCTTCTATTCTAACAAAATTACTCGTGCAAATATCAATTAGTAGCATTGACAACTTTAGAAGGAAGAAATTGTCAATTAAAATTTTTAAAGAAAAGAAATTCTTTCCCACTAACCGCAAACTGAACTAAGTGTTTCTTGAGACAGCTCTTTCGGGACAAACGTTTTCGTAAAAAGGATTTTGGGATGAGGTTCTTGCTGACAGAGGCGGATTTTGGCAAATTAGCGATAAAGGCAATTTTCAGCTAAAAGCGATAAAAGTGTTTTCGGGGAGGGCTTAATGGCCGGATTATATATTTAAGCGACCTTAATTTCTATTTAACGGGGTAAAGGTGTTTTTGACCGACGATAAATGGTCAATTTTTGTAAAAAACAGACCTTTTTTATGAAAAACTTTCGTCATGAGTCATGACTCATTTTCGAAGCTAATGATAAAGCAGAAAAAAAGTTTCTAAAATGTTCTGTTTCAGGAAATCGAAAGAAATTCAAGCGCTGCATTTACAAAGAGTTGAAAATCTACGAGCGGCAGCATCCTGAAACTGTCAAAGCAGAATGCACAGTAAAAGGCAGTTACTACTAAAGACTCAAGATTCGGGTTCACAAAAGATTATCAATAACCAAATAAAACGAATAAAAATTGAACCATTAATCAGACAAATATTATCGCTCAATTCCTGCTGCTGCTGCAAATAAGTTTTTGTTTATTTTATGATAATTTATTTCAGATCTAAGAAGAAAAAAGAAAAAAACTCTTAATTGGGCTTGAATCTTCATTAAGAATTTTCATTTAAGAAATTCGAGCCAATAAGAAGCCTGTTTTTTCATAAATAGCGAATCAAAAGTAAAATCGCCGAAGATTTTCTTCGTCGAATTGAAATAAATTTATCATAAAATTCAAAAGAAATTGCCAAAGATTGAAAAGTTTTTGCGCTAAATAATTATTTTCAAAATTGTAAATATTCTTTCATTATTGTCGAATTTCAATATCGCGCCCTTTTTTGCTTTAAATTTTCGATCACGCGAAATCTGCGAGGATCAAAGCTCAAAGTCGACTTCTTCTGGATGGTTTTCATGCAAATGGAGATGGAAGACGGACGAAAACGAACATTGTATAAAAATAAATTTGCCCTGCTTTAAATAAACCTGAAACACACAAGCGAAAGATATTTTGTTCTTTTTCTCTAGGAAGCGGCAAAAATGAGCTGCTTTATTTTGGTTTCGCGGCTTCCCGAACGATAACTTTTGTCTGTTCTACCTTGTCAGACGGTCAGATTTTATTATCAGCGATAGGTTCAGAGAAATCAGAAAGCTTTTTTTCCAGGTATGAGTAGATTTATTTATCATTGATCAGCGATATCATTAAAAAAAGGATACTTAGAGTAAGAGTGACTAAGATGCATGGGGACATAGGATATGAATAAATGAAACCTTATACTTAAAGAATTCGGTAATAGAAATTTCGGACTTTGAAGGCAGAAGCAGGGTCGTAGAAATTGTCCGCGACGTATGCTGAGAGAGTGCCGCTAGTTTTCGATCCGCGCGAAGAATAATATCCTGACATGACAGTCGCACCGTCGATACTTGCGGCGTAGTGCAAGTGCTCGTTTCCAACATCCGAAACTTCAACAGTAAAGGTGCTCCATTGACCGTCAGTGCAGACAAAGTCCACATAACTTTGATGAGCACCGACATTTGGATGATTGATAGCAAACTGCAAAGTATTGCTTACTGCTGCTCTTAAAATAAGAAAAGCTCGATCAGAGGGTGCACCGTAATTTCGACCAGTACCAAGCCGGAGCACTGCCGTTTCTGCCGAGCTTATTGGCGCGCGATGATCGCAGAAGACCTCAGCTGACGCTTTGTAGCTCAAAGCAGCCGGAATGGTTGTGAGAAAATTATTTTTACTAGGGACGATTTCGCAGTCGTTAACAATGTTTAAGCAATTCCCAACTCCATCGCAAGGATCAAAAATGCTCACGCAGTCATTATTAATAAACGCGAAGGTCTGATAGTAGAAATTCCGGACGAAAAACGCCGAGCCAGCTTCGTTCCAGTTGTCAGAGACGAAGACTTTAAGATCGCCAGTTGTCACCGGATTGTAAAAGAACGTCCCTTGATTCTTTGTTAAACCATCGATGCTGACATTATACTGCAAGTAGTTCGGGTTGTCATTCCTTTGTTTTAGGACAACAGAGTAGGTAGTCCACTCACCGTCTTTGCAGAAGTAATCTGTTGATTGAATTCCATAGCTCCAATCATTGAAAGTAAAGGAGAGCTTGTTTTTTTTCGCGGGGATATCGCCAGAGTGCGAAAGTTCCATCACCAGCAGGGTCCAGGTTGGTTTCTAAGCTCACATGAAAGATGTTTAAAAAGTCATAGTCATGTCCCAGTGTGTTTGTAAAAGGCATGCTATGGTCGCAATAAACGTCCGCAGAAAATTTATAGTTGACGGCGGCGGGCACCGTTTCGATCAGATTGTTTCGAGAAGGCGCTTGCCCGCATCCCCCGACGAGGGTTGTGCAATTTTCGAGACCATCACATGGATCGTTGTCACACGGAAGTACTTCTTCGAAAAAAAATTTCTTCATTATTGTGAAGTCGTCCATCTTGAAAATTCGTAATGTTCTATCAGTGACATTTTCATGGCTGGTGAAATTGATCACTGAGAAGAAATTTTGATCTCCTTCGGAAAACTTTTATCAGCTAATAATTGCGAGGGTTATTTGTTTTATTATTTATGCAATGTAACTGTTCCTCAAAAATTTGGATAAATGACGATTCATTCGTACCAACAAAATTGAAATTCAGAATTATTTCTGTAAGTTTTTCAGCATTCGTCCTCAAAATATAAGGTTTTTCAACAAAATCAGAATTCATCCAAAGAGAGCCATTTTGAGAGATCCCAAAAGAGAAAAGATTTTTCCCATTCAAAAAATTTCCTTCAAGAATTTTTGTTTCTTTGAAATTTCGTTTCTCGTCTTTGACATTAATTTGAAATCCAAAACGGTCCACTGTGGCATTTTTAATCAATGGCATTTTTATCGTCGAAATATGATTCAACTCGTCTAGCGACGAAAATAAAGAATCGGGAATAATAATTTTGAATAAGTTTCCCCCTGTGTATAGGCCTGGACGTGGAAACGGATTTTGGATAAAATCTTTCTTAAAGAATTGATTTGGAAAGACGTCGTCATGGAAGGCGAAGTCAGGATTGCTGGTCACGTGCATTGTCTTTTTAGATCTTTGTTGGACAAATTCGAGCTCAATATTTGCTTTTCAAAGGGTTATTAATCACTATACAGTTCGGGCTTATATTTTGTTAGCTATTTTTGTTAGCTTACCCTCTCCTAAGTCATATTTGATTTCAAAAATAATATCAAAAACAGTATTTTGAATGAGAATCTTCTCGTCATGAATGATTCCATGTCCAAAGTACTCGCATTCGTCATTATTAAATCCTCTTTGATCAGTATAGAAGGGATCATCCGCAAACAAAGCCGAAAAGCAGATTGATTTTTCTTCATATTCAATAAGAGAGCCGATCCACTCGCGGCCTAGAGTAAGAAATCTTCCTTCTGCCTCCAAGAGCAAAGTATAAAGTGTGTTTGAGAGCTCGGTACTTCTTGTCACTATTATTAAAAGAAGTTTCTTCATATCAATCTTTTAGGGGTTTCGAGTATTTTTATTAAATTATCGTTGTGACTAGAAGTTGATGATTCATGACCCCTCTCAAAGAAATGACATGAACTGGGTTCAAGTCCCTTATTTCTTTTGGAATTTGAATCTCGTTCTTTTTCCAACCTTTCTCCAATTCTTCGTCTTTTCGGATTCTGTTCAAGGCCATTGTTGTTGATAATTTGATGTAATAATCACCCAACTTGACGCTCATCAAGTAGAATACTCCTTTGAAGCTGACAGAAGACACTTTTGCGTTAAAGTGGTTGCTAGCTATGAAGCCCTGCGCTAACTTAGACAGAGTTTGAGGGCCTTGCTAAGGCTCCTTTTAAATAAATCATTTACTAATAGAAGAACTGGGATCCCCAAATTTGAGGGCCACTCACGAATGTAAGACTTGCTTTTCAAACTCTCCCTCGAACCGTTGTAAATTATAATCGGGCGCATAGTAAAAGCACTTATCCTCTCTTCGAGAAGGACGGCTTGTTATGATCAAAAGTATTTTGAATGACAGAAATGTTACCTTCTTTCGACCTTTTTCAGATGACGACAACTGGAAAAAATTTTGTATCTTTCTCTTCTCGGCGAATTTCAATTTGATGAGTTCCGATTGAAGATCCAAAATGGAAGATGAAAAAACCTCTTAAAATTAAAATCAGTGATATTTAGTTGAGAAAGCCTACATTAATTCCAGTCGATTTGCGATAAAGAGCGAGCGAATTCCTGTTTCTGTCAATATTTGTAAATTTCCGAGGGCATCCACCAAATAATGTTCCCCATTGATAAAAGTGGATCCGGTAGACTTAAACGATTTTACTGACTATTTCTTAACCCCTTTACGGGAGTGCGCTTAAAAAAACCCCTTACGGGGAATATTTTCTGGAATCGACATAAAAATTCCGACAAAATTTTCAAAAAAGACACTTCAGAAAAATAACTCTTAAGTTTTTTGAGAAGTGTTTTTTCTTAAAACAATGAAGAAATGGCCTTTTAAGCCTATAAATTATAGGCTTTAATGGACATTTCAAGGCAGTTTTGAGAGACTTTCCTTAGCCAAGCAGATAATGGTGGGCTACTGAAATTTACTTGAAAATAATGAAATTTTTGTCGGGATTTTTTTGTCGGTTCCAGGCACCTCCCTCTAACGGGACCTGTACAATTTTTGTCGATTGGCCTTTCTTTTGATCTTGAAATTTTAAGAATCATTGACGCTGCCTTTAATGGCAACGTTGGCTAGATAATTTGAAATCAACACAAATCTCAACACCCCAAAACGGCCCTATTGTAGGGCTCGAGCAAGTCGAACCCTGATGGTCAAAATATTAACTCTCTGGTTAATTTGATAATTTGGTTTATTCCGAATATTCCGAATCTTGTCAAGCTTGTTGACAAGAGGCACAGTCGAGGCACAGCTTATAAGGTGGTCGTAAATGGTAGTGCATAGAGACGCCCCTGGTGACCAGAGAATAATGGATCGACTTATCGAACCCCACAATTCTCGGACCTCCAGGGACATCCGGTCAATTAATGGTTAAGTGGCACAAATGGGAGAAAAAAGTTGATGGAAAAATTTTCGATCCATCTCTTCCAACGGCACGAGCGGTCGTTTTTTCATAGGTATATAATAATCATATTTGTGCATTTAAGGGAAATGTCAATGATGAACAAGAAGATTGAGCGGTTACAAGATACGTCAAACCAGCATGAAAAAGACATCAACAAAGAAACTTTTATTACTGATCTATTGAATATGGACAGGAAGCATGAGAGTACCGCAAAAACAGTTGCCGGTGTAATATTTTTCGGCTTTAAATCGACGAGTAGGGAAAAGTCGTAATAAATTTGATACAGTGACTGACCTGTTACTACTCATGTCGCTAATCATCTCCGTTTTTAGCAATGGGA